GATGTTTATATAACCCTACATTCAGCCCACACAAATTTCAGTTTGTTCATTATCTAACTAGGCTCTCTGTTGAAGTAATGTCTGCCTGTCATCTATTAGTAATACTGTTGTGCTTCATGAGTAATGGAATATTCCTGGAGGCTAATGGAGAGTCTTGTACTGAAGGATTTATGGATTATAGTCTTCTACAGGGTAAAGCAGCAACTCCACATGGATATTTACGTAATAACAGATTATCTAATTATAACAACACTGTGGTGGATGTAGCAACAAGATGGATTATCATTGAGGACAATATAAAATTCACATGTGCTACAGTTATAACAGAAATATTGATTGGAGTTGATATAAGAACAATTGATGGTATAAGAAATCTATATCCAAGATTTGAAGTATGGGCTCCAACTAATGATAATGATGTGTACACTAGAGAGATGTCTGTTGAAATCAGACTGACTCCTGATAACTTTACAACTAATGGACAGTATCGTTTCACTCTCCCTACTCCATTAAATGTCTCCAGTGGATACAGGATTGGTGTATATCAACCTCCTGGTGACAGAAGTGTTGTTAGATTTCATTATATTAACCTACCTGGTATGATTGATAAAGATAGAACAGGAAAAGTACAAACAAATCTCATTAACAACAGTGACATTAAAATATCAGGAGGAGGTCGACAGGTTGACCATGAAGAAGTCACTATACTAATACATCCAATAGTACAGAATACAAGTATGCAATAAATCAATCATTATTTAATCATTTCTATTAAATTAGGTTGCTTTCCACAATTTGTACCTGATGACGTAATCAATTCATTAAGTTATTCTATTACTGATTCATATTATGTTTCTGATACTAGAATATTTCCTGATATAAGGTTCACATGTCATGGTATTATTACTAACTGGATAGTTTATGCTCCTGCACAAGTATCAGTAATTAAAATAAGACATTCAAATAATCTCACTACTACAGCAACAACATTGAACACTAGTGCTAGTAATGCTGTTAGGATAACTTCTCTTTTATATAATTTTACTATGAGCAATGAGATAACAGTACAACCTGGTGATATATTGATGATTGAAAGTAATTCTACTAATTTAATGTTCTATCATCAATACAATGGACCACACAATTACAGACTGGGGGACAACAATGAGTTAATTGCATTAGATACCAATGACTATCCACTCATCTCAGTTGTAGTAGGTAAAAGTATCATTTTACATCATATAAGTAAATAATTATTTATTTTCATTGTCATATAGAGCCTTTCACAAACACTGCTACTTCAACAATCAGTAGTACACATATTAATACTGTCATTACTGTGCTTCCATCATCAAGCATATACTCCACAGCTACTGTAACAGTGGAATCAATGGAATATACTAAAACTAACTCAATATCAAGTAACAGTTTATCATTGACTATAGGTACTACATCAATGATGAGTACACCAGTTAGTACATTACAAAGTACAGACAGTAATACACTAATACTAGTAGGAAGTATTAGTACAGTATTTATATTACTGGTAGTTACTATACTAGTAATATTAATAGTGAGTGTATTAGTGTGTAGGAGATTATGGTATAAAACAACAAATAGAAATGATACTTTTAGGTCTACTGAAAGAGAAGCTGATATAAATCAACAATCAGATGGTAATGTTTATTATAATAAGTGTGTATATGTAAACATGATAAAGAAATCAATTTATAGCACCAAATATGGAAAAATCACTATTAGCATCAACTAATCCTGCCTATGGAGTTACTGGTGAAAGTAAGACCTAATGATATTATATGAGTACAATAATGATATTAACATCATGACATAGACTGTAATACTGATGTATCTGCTAATCCTGCTTATGGTATTACTGAAAGTAAGATAGACTATTATTATCAATCAATACAACTATTAATAGAATCTGGTGTATCTGCTAATCCTGCTTATGGTATTACTGGAGCAATAGAAAGTAATAGTGGGTAGTTATATTGAGATGAAGGGAGAAATATTCTACATTATATTTTAATTGAGCAAATTATTATTTTTGTTTATATGAACATAGTAATGGTTATGTCATGTAATCAGACTTGTGTGTAGTTGTTCATTAAAGCAATTGTTTTGATTTAAAGGTATTGATGAAGAAGCATTAGTATATGATGAACCAAGAACAATGATGTATAATAAACAAGAGGTAAGTAATTGTAAAGTAAATTAAATGTAATCAATCACATATTCAATCAGTTGGTGCAACAATTAATTTTATTATCAGTACGTAATAGCTACTCTTACAGTAGCATAATCTTTCAATATTATTTTTACAGGTTACAATAACACAAAATGAAGCATATGGACAATTATAAAGCAACAAACTACACTTTCTACATTGAAATAGTTTAATTACATTAGTGTGTGCATTTGTACACTATTATTCTTTAATTTATTTAGTTGATATTGCTAAAACAAATAATACTTTAAATTGATGAATAAAAACATAATCAACATAATAAGTGATAAGTGTGACCACATAGGCGGCTGCAGGCCTAGGCATTGGGGGTCATTGCCTAGGTTAAAAATTAGACCGGAAGTAGAAACAATGCTATTTAACCCTTTTACCACACCCCTTTAATTAGAAATGCCTAGGCTGAGTCGGACTTCTGCAGCCGCCAAAGTGTGACCATCACAGCCCCTAATATTTTGTAGATGAATAGTCTCCCATAGCACACATTTTAAAAGCTATAGCAGTTTTATCTACATAAATTGATGTAAATGCACACACATAGACTAGATACAGGCACACACACAAACACATGTAGATCTAGAGCAACACAATGTGAGTAGAAAAAAAATTGGTTGCATCAGTATGCATAAGAAAATGTAAGGTGTTGACATAAATATAGATGCTGTAGATCTATCTTTTTTGTGTGTGGGAGATAGACTAGAAATAGCTATGCTGGGCGTGGTTCAGAACTTTAGACATCGACACACCCGGTCCGGAAACTTTCCGTAGCAATACTACTACTAAAAATAGGAAACGTTTCGTACTATTTTACTATGGGTTATTGGAAACGCATAACCTAAACAAACCCAGCCTTTTGGCCACTCCCGCAGAGTCATGGCTAAGAGGCTACAGCTCAAGGCTGTAAAAGTTCGGCATCACTCAACAAAAGGAAAGTCAAAATTCATCAAGATACCTAGAGGTACGACAAGACTAAAGCCTCTATTTGCTGCCGATAATG